TCTGGAGTAGCAGACACGTGTGTGAACAGGGGTGCGGCATGTCCCTGCTGCCCTGGTGTTCTCCTGGGTCATGAGCAGGGACCGCACTCGCGCGGTCTCCTGCCAGCACCCTGGCCAAGGGGCTCGGTTCAGCTGCTCAGCTCCTCTCTACGCCTCTTGCTGCAGGTTTGCTGCTATCCACGCCGAAGCCCCCGAGTTTGTGGAGATGAGCGTTGAACAGGAGATCCTGGTGACAGGCATCAAGGTGGTGGACCTGCTTGCTCCCTACGCCAAGGGCGGCAAGATCGGTACGTTGCCCCCAGAGGAACAGGGGGGGTGTCTGGGGGGAGGAGCACCCTGCCAGCCCCGCTGAGCACTTCCTGGGGGCTCGCACTGTGCCCCACCAAGGCTCAGGACCGATACCTCTGCAGTAGTTTCCTTCGCTGATGAGTAACCATTTGACTTTCGTTCTTCTGAGCTTGCTGAAGCAACGCTTAGTTCATCTGAGGAGGAAAAGGGTGAAGGGAGACACAGGGCAGCCGGATCGCCTTGGGGTTGAGTGGGATTCCCGTTCTCTCCCAGGTTTGTTTGGAGGTGCTGGCGTTGGCAAGACGGTGCTGATCATGGAGCTGATCAACAACGTGGCAAAAGCCCATGGCGGTTACTCGGTGTTCGCCGGTGTGGGGGAGCGAACCCGCGAGGGCAACGACTTGTACCATGAGATGATCGAGTCTGGGGTCATCAACCTGAAAGATGCTACTTCCAAGGTGTGCTGGGTCTCCTGAGGGGGCCGGGTGGGGTCCCGGCAGCGCCGGGGGTGCCGGCGGCAGAGTGGCACCGTGCCAACGCCTGGGTCCTGCCCACAGGTCGCCCTGGTCTACGGGCAGATGAACGAGCCCCCAGGCGCTCGCGCCAGAGTGGCTCTGACGGGGTTGACGGTGGCCGAATACTTCAGGGACCAGGAGGGTCAGGATGTGCTGCTCTTCATCGACAACATCTTCCGCTTCACCCAGGCTGGCTCAGAGGTCTGTGCTCAGCGCAGGGCTGCTGGCGTGCTGGCTCCTGGCGCTGAGCGTGGTGGTGGCCGGGCCGTGCTCTGCAGGGGGTGCCTGGCCCCCCACCTCGTGTGGGCCTCTCACAGGCTCTGTTCCCTCCTAGGTGTCGGCCCTGCTGGGGAGAATCCCCTCGGCCGTGGGCTACCAGCCCACACTGGCCACCGACATGGGCACCATGCAGGAGAGGATCACCACCACGCGCAAGGGCTCCATCACTTCGGTGCAGGTGAGAGCAGGGCCGACCCCGCCGTGCCGGGGAAGCTGGGAGCATGAAGGCCAGCACTGGCTGCTCACCCCCCCTCCCCCCAGGACTACAAGTCCCTGCAGGACATCATCGCCATCCTGGGCATGGACGAGCTCTCTGAAGAGGACAAGCTGACAGTGGCCCGGGCTCGCAAGATCCAGCGCTTCTTGTCGCAGCCCTTCCAGGTGGCCGAGGTCTTCACTGGCCACATGGGCAAGCTGGTGCCGCTGAAGGAGACCATCAAGGGTTTCAAACAGATCCTGGCGGGTGAGATGGGCGCCGGGGGGAGCTGAGGGCCCAGGGGTGCCTGGGCTGGGCTCAGCACCCTCCTCCC